GCAGAGGTGCCCTGGAGAATGGGGCACTCTTGGGGGAGCAGCAGCACAGCGGGGTAGGTACTGGCCTTGCTAGTGGTACACCGAGGTTCAGTCCCCACACTCCATGGGCCCCCTGAATCCCACCAGGAGTGTTCCCTGAGAATCGCTGGTGTGACCCAAAACTCAAAAGAAAAAAATACACTTTTTTTTTGCTTTTTGGGTCACACCCAGCAATGCACAGGGCTCATTCCTGGCTCTGCACTCAAGAATCACTCCTGGCAGTGGACCATATGGGATGCTGGGGATCGAACCCGGGTTGGCCGCGTGCAAGGCAAATGCCCTGTTCTCTGTGCTATTGCTCCAGCCCCAAAAATACACCTTTGATTGGCAAAAAAATCTGTTGTCAGGGGCCCCTGAGTGGGAGGATCCTGGGCCAGCCCCAGCCTGGGACCCCAGGGCCCCACGCTAGTGCTGCGAGAGGTGTGTGTGTGGAGGGGGGCTGTGTACGGCTTCCGTTGTGGCCACCAGGTGGCGCTTCCCGCCCGCCTGAGCTGCCGCCTCTCCCGCAGCTGCTACCAGGACTACGTGGACGAGGAGAAGGCCATGTGCCACCGCATGTTTGCCCCGGCCAGCCACCGCCCTCGCGTGGCAGAAAACTGAAGGTATCGCAGGGGCCACCTTCCGGCCGTGGGAGGAGGTGGTGGCTTCCCTGATGGAGCGGAAGGGCTAGAAGCTCCCCAGCGACGTGTGGACACAGGGTGCAGAGCTGGGGTCTTGGGGTGTTAGGTGGGGATCCATGATCTTCCTCCCTCCCTCCCGGACAGGAGTGTGGGGTCTCCCGAGGGGCCACTCTGTCCCCCAAGTTTGTCACAAGAAAACAAACAGAAGGACAGAAGGCACCCCTGACTGCTGCCCCCCACCCCGGAGTCCCAGCACCCCAGTGGGCTCCTGTCTGGGCTCTTCTTGAATCCCGTGCCCCCGCCCCTCCCTCCCCTGAGGTGGCAGCTCCTGGCCTGCTGTTGGAGCCCCACCCTCCCGGGGAACCCATGGGCCTGAGTGCCGAGCCCCCTCCCCCGGGGCTGATACTGAGGAAGGTCAGTGGAAATCGAATCACCTGCACCAGCACCTGCTTGGCCGGGAGATAAGTCAGTTCCGTCGGGAGAAGGTCAGCGGGGACGTGGGGGATGGGGTGCCGGCCAGCAGCTGCGGGGCGGCCAGTGATAAGGCGCCCCCATGACCCCAGCTCGCCCAGGTGCTGGGAGCAGTGGAAAGGCCCATTGCCCCCTGTCCCGCGGTCCCCTTCATCCCCCTGACTCCGGGGACAGCTCGGTCGAGTGACAGCTGTTCCCACCCAGCCAAGCCCGGCTCTTTGTTGTCCCCTGGGGCCCCTGGCAGGCGGGAGGAACGGGGCCTTCCCGGTGGCGCTCAGGCTGGGCTTCCGAGCACTGCTGCCCTGATACGCCCTCCCGACCGCCAGTCCTGGGGTGGGGGTGACCCTGCCTCGGCGCTGTCCTGTGACGTGCTCAGGAGGGCGCTTTCGGCTGAAGATCCCCCCTGCATCCGCCAGGGCTGCGACGGCCGCACGTGTGCAGCGTGCTGGTCATGAGCCACCTGACTCCCTGGGAACCCCCAAGTGGTCCCCTGGAAGGTGGGTGAAGCCTGTCTCCAGCCTGTGTGCGGAGATGTTGGGGCTAACTCACGTCCTGGTGACTGGTTTAAGGACAGATGGGGTCTTGGGAACTCAGGCGCCCCAGTGCAGACACCCAGTCTGGCACCTCGCTCGGCACAGGCTAGCAGGAGGGCTGAGCTCTAAGAGCTATGGCAGGAGAGGCCTTTGGATCTTTTTGTGTTTGTTTGGGGGCCACACCTAGCAGTGTCCAGGACTTATTCCTGACTCTGCTCAGGGATCACTCCTGGCAGGGCCCGGGGGACCATCTATGATGCGGGTCAAACCCAGGTCGGCTGCATGCAAGGCAAGTGCCCTCCCCATTGTACTATCGTTCCAGCCTCTTCCATTATTTTTAATGAAAGAGAAGCTTTCTAGTGGCCCTGGGGACAGAGTCCAGGCCCCAGCACAGAGGTCTGGCGGGTGCCTTGGCCTCCCCAGGCAAGAGCCCGGGGGTTCCCTTTGCCAGCGCATCTCTCCTCCTTGTGGTCTCCTGTGGCATGCCTTGTGGGCCCCAGCACCTGCCCATGCTTCGTGATCACCATGGACAGCGCCCCCACTGTGTGTGCTGGGGTGCAGGAGACACCTGCGAGATGGCCAGCCACCCCCAGCGCTGCCTGGTGGCCCTTCCGGCCATTTGTTGAGATGCTTGGCACAAAGCCCGAGGTGCGTGCAGACTATCAGCTCCATGTAGATGTGTGCAGGGCTGGGGCTGTGATGGTCTCCAGCCCTCCCCCACCCCGGCCCGGTACTCAGCTCCCACCTGTGGTTGAGAGCAGCTGCTCTGGGCCCTACTGCCCAGCATGAGCAGCACCCCCAGGTGACCCTGGGGATGTATCGAGATGAGGCGTCACCCCCATGTGCTTGGAGCTGCAGCGGGCCTGACCTGCCTGCCCTGGCCGAGCAAGGTCCCCCAACCCTCGCCTACTTTCTGCAGAGCGAGGACCAGGTTTTGTGTGACAGGGCTGTTGTGCCGAGGGGCCGCCCCCCTTCCTGGGGAGACCCTCTTGCACCTGCGTGCACAGGACAGGGGCTCTCTCTTGGGACTGGCCAGGGAGCTGGTCCAGGGGCTGGGCTGGGAGGGATCTCTGGGTACCGCCGGATGCCTCCCATTCCCCAAGGAAAAGAAGTTTAAAGGAAGTTTGGAGCTGTTTGTTCAGCCTCTGGGAAGGTGCTTCCGAGATGGTTGTCGGGGCCCAGGCAGCCGCGGGGGGGAGCAGACCATCCCCCACTGTGCCAGGGACAGCCAGGAGGCTGTGTGGTCCCTTTGTCCAGAGAGGGGAGATCGTCCCATGGCCCTGAGTCCCCAAGTCAGCGGGGTTTGGTGACCATTGTCCCGGGTCCACTGACTGTCTCTCCCTCCCCGGGAACAAACCTGCACTCTCGGGCGGGCGGGGTGGGCACCCAGCCAGCCCCGCATTCCCCTGGGGTCAGAGGAGGCCCCGGCCCCCAGCCTTGATCCCCGGATTCCGAGCAATGCCTCTGCCCAGCCCTGGCTCGGGAGTCGCCCCTTTGTTGTGTGACTGGAAATAGCTCCGGCTTCCTGAGCCGCGGGCCCGGGAGGGCGCCCAGCGCATTCCCTGGCCTGGGCCACGGCCCCTCCCGTCGTGGGGGGTGGGGGGGTGCTCAGTTTGAAGGGGCCCCTCCACGCCCCGGCGGAGGGTCTGGGGTGGAGACGGCCCCTGTGGCCATCAGCTGGGGCTGCTCTCCGCAAGTCTGGGGGGGCTCAGCCGAGAGAATCCGGGGTGCAGGCTAAGAGCTAAGGGCTGAAGGAGAAGCAGGAAGGGCTGAGTCCTGCTCTCTGGGGTCCCGGGCCTGCTTTGGTGCCGCCTCCCATGACAACCCCCCACCCCGCCCCACCGGTCCCCGGACACTGCCCGGCGCCTTTCAAGTGTGAGCCGAGGGCACAGCTGTGAGGCGGCGTCCATGCCCCCCTGGGCAGCCTCTCCTCCGGCTGTCGTCCGCCAGGGGCCTCGGGCCTGGCTGTGCCCTTCGCCACCTGTACCCGCCGGGCCGGGGCAGAGCTTCCCGGGGTCCTGCCCGCTGGGTCCTCCTTCCTCCTCCTGCTCTCTGCACTGCCAAGGCGCTGGGGCCGGGGCTAGAGGATGTGGTTTGTGGGGGAGACTCGAGCTCGGGCCCATCGCCCCTGTCATCCCTCAGCACCATGCCAGGTGAGGCCCCCCCAAACCACATCGGCTTGGCCAGGCTGGCCCCTCCCCCCACCCCATGTAGTAGGCTCTTGGCAGACTCACAGCGTCCCTTTTGCGAATTGTGGGGACGTTCTCTGGGGCTGGGGAGGAGGCTGGCACTGGAGGGGCCTGTCCCTGCCCCGTCCTTCCTGTCACCTGCTCCAGGACAACGAAGGCTGAGCCCCACCGGCCACTCCCCTTTGCGGACCAGGGACCGGCTGGCGTGAGGCTGGTATGAGGCATGGGAGCCCCTGCACCCGCTGCCCGCCCTGCTCCTCAGGTTTCAGCCCCAATGCTCCCTCCCTGCTCCCCCGCCCCGAGCCCCCCTCCCACGGCACTGTCTACCCCCCTTAGCCCCCCCCCCCCGCCCCCGTGTCCCTCCCAGCTTCTCAGTTACATTTTCACACTCTTCTTTGATTACGCTCATTCTCAGTCTGATTACGGGGCTGTCAGGTGCTGCCTGGCTGGGTTTGGCCCCAGCTTCTTCTCAGTGCCCAAGGTGGCCCTGTGCAGTCTGTACCTCGGCCTCTGTCCCCCAGTTCTTCCCCCGAATCGCACGACCACGGGGCTCTGCCTGGTGCTCTGTGATCGCTGGGATGCCAATTTCGGTGCCTTCTCTCACCTGGGGGGGCCGGAACCCTCCCACCTGGAGCGGGGACTGAGCGCTCGTTTTCAGCTTGGAGGTTCCCGCCCTTCCCCGAGTCTCACCCCTGGGAAGGGGGGCCCAGGAATAGGGACAGGTGTGGGATATATTTCTCTGTCGCCTCCTGGGACAGGCTCGATGGTCTGTTCCCCTCACTTGCTGACTCTCCATTTTGCCACGGCCACTTCCAAAGGCAGCAGGAAAGTGGGGTGGCGATGGGTTCTTCAGGTCCATCCTTGACAGCCTCCCCTGCCCCGTCTCGGCCTCCCCCTGCCCCGTCCCAGACAGCCTCCCCGCATCTCTGCCCCAACTCCCCCTACCCTGCTTCAGCCTCCCCCCTGCCCCATCCCAGACAGCCTCCCCCCAACTCTGCCCTAACTCCCCTACCCTGTCCCAGACAGCCTCCCCCGAGCCCCATCTCAGCCTCCCCCTGCTCCAAAGGTTTTGCTGGTGGCTGTGCAGGCCGTGCTGAGTGTCAGGGCACAGGCATGAAGGGCAGTTGCCTGGCCATCCACTCTCCCAGTGCCCACGGCCAGTTCCCGGTGCCCTCCAGAGAGGGCTTCTGGTAGATATTCAAATACTGGGATATGCCATTTCCCCCATGGGTCAAGGGGCTGTTTGTAACATTTGATGCTTTGGGGGTTTCTACGACACCACACCTGCCTCATTTGGGGGCTAAGGGGGCCACACCTGGAGGTGCTCTGAGATCCCACCCTGTGGGGCTTAGGGGACCGTTTGGGCTGCTGGGGATCAGATCCGGGTCAGCGGGTACAGGGCCGGTGCCCTCCCGCTGTCCTGCGGCCTCTCCCACTCCTCCCTCATTTCCGGAGAGTCCGTGGGGCGTCGGCTCCTGTGCGAGGCCACATCCCTGCCTCACTTTGCTGGGCACCGCAGGGACCGCAGGCTGGCGGGAGGTGGGGACCGTTTCCAGCCCCCTGTCCATTGCCAGATGCTCAGACCAGCCCTGGCTCTCCACGAGTCCTGCCCACGCCTGGGTGACGCTGCCACCAGCTTCTCAGTGCCTGTCAGCTCACAAATAGTGTGGCAGCTTGAATCTGTCCCTCCTTCATGACCAACTGGGGGCAGCAGGCCTGGGGGCATCCAACCCCTTCCTGCCGGGTGCCTCACCGGTCTTCTGCCCTTGGGGTCAGCACAGTCAGAATCCCCCATCGCTGACGGGCTGTGGGAGTGTCTCCCAGGCTGTGCTACTGCAAAGGCGTGCCCATGGGGGCAGCTCTTGGGCTGTGGCCTCCCCCTGACTCCACGCAAGGTCTGTAGAATGCAGGGGACCTCACCAGGGACCCCGGGCCTCCCCTCATGGTCTGAGGGGCACCAAGCTGTGGCACGGCCTGAGACAACCAGCACCCTCAGGGACACCCAACTGTGCAACTCCTCTGTTTGGTCCACAGGTTCATCAGAGCCCTCGGAGCTGCGTGGCGCCAGGCTGTTGGCGTCTGCATTCCTGGGGGGACCAACAGCTTCGTGGCAGGAGCCCCCACACTGCACAGGGCCACGAGGGGCCCACCCCGAGGCCCCACATTTTCACAGGTGCTGGGTCCTGTTTCCTGATTTTGTGCTGGGCAGCAGCAGTGTCCCCAGTGACAAGTCCCCACGCGCTGTGGTTTCCAAAAGCCGTCGGGGGTTCTCACTGGCTTCGCCCTGGCCGCCTGCCCAGTCCCACCCCTTGCCCGTCTGGCAAATAGAGATTGCTTTGTGTGTTTATGGGGTTCTGTTTTGAAAGGGGAGAATTAGGTTACAACTGTTTTTGTTATAAATAAATAAAACACTTCCTTGTCCTTGCAAGCTCCAGTGTAAACTGTGAATTGAGAGGCGCCCCACGGGGCTGAGCCAGGGTGGGACGGGCTGTCCTCCGTGGGGGACACCCCCTTCTGCTGCGTGGACAGGCTCATCCTCCAGGCACCTGGGGCTCCCCTCCCCATTCGGGGATCCTTCCTGGCACCTCCCCCCCCGCAGCTGTATCTTCTCAGCAGCACATGGGGGTCTTTTCTGCCGCCCTCAATCCATCCAGCACCCCCTTCAAGGGCTTCGTTCTCACCTGGCAGTGCCCAGGGTCAGTCCAGACAGTGCCCGGGGGCCCTGTGCGGTGCAGGGGTTCAGACTGTTGTTAAAGCTGCGGCAGGCAAGTGCTTCAGCCGCTGCCCCCCCTCCCGCTCTGGCCTGAGAAACTTCTCCGTGATGTCACATAGAGGGGCAGAAATGGAGCATTTCCTGATAGAACCATTCACTTAGAAACATCTCTCGGTGTAAGTCGTGACATCTACTGTGGGGCTGCACCCACAGCTCAGGCAGCTGGCAACAACCTCCCCCTCCCTCTCCACACCCCCATCCTCAGAACTCCCTGGCCCACCTTGGGCCCTTGGAGCACACCTCAGGGCTGGGAGACAGCACAGAGGCTGTGCATGCAGGGACCCCGGGTTCCACCCAGTGGCCATCCCCAGCACCACCAGGAGTGACCCCCAAAAACACAAAACAAAAATCAACCCCACTTCAGGGTGTTTGTTTTGTTTTGTTTTGTTTGGCTTTTTTGGGGGAGGGTCACACCTGGCGATGCACAGGGGTTCCTCCTGGCTCTGCACTCAGGAGTTACTCCTGGAGGTGCTCAGGGGACCTTATGGGATGCTGGGAATTGAACCCGGATCAGCCGCGTGCAAGGCAAATGCCCTACCCGCTGTGCTATCTCTCCAGCCCTCACTTCAGGGTGTTTGGGATGTGACAGGGGTCAGCCTTGTCTCAGCACCAGGCCCTTCCTCTGTCCCCAGATCACAGAGACCAGGCCCCTGGCCGCCTTCTGGGCGCTTCCGCCAGTGGGCTCGCTGGAGTGGTACCCTGCCAACACTCCCCGGCCTGTGGACTGTCTCTCCCCCAGCCTGCTCTGCAAGCCCAGCCCCTTCCCCTCCCCGCAGTCCCCCTGCAAACCCGGCACTTGCCCATCACCTGCTGCCCCCACCCTTGGGCACCACCTGGCCTGGCCATGCCCCTGCCCGCATAGGTGCCCGTTGAATCTCTGCACCCTGCCTGGGACCTGCCTTTGCCCCCCCAACACACACACAGTTGCCCCCTGCCCCCGCTTGCCCCACAGCCCTTGAGGCTTCCTTCGGGAGGCCGGAGGGACTGGCCTGGGGTCTCCGGGGAGTCCTGGATTGTGTGGTCAGTGGGGACATGTGTGAGGCGAGTCCACGGCAGGGATGGGAGGAATGTGGAGCCCACGAGCACCTCTGTGGGCAGCGAGGAGGCCAGGGGGCAGCTGGGAACCCTGGGTCTGGGTGGCCCCGCCTAGGTTTTATTTCCCAGAGGATCAAGGAAATGTGCTCCGTGTCCTTCCAGAAAGTTCTGAAAGGACTCCTGGACGGGCAGCATGTGGGATCAGAGGCACCCAGGGCCTCGGGGATGGGAGTCACTAAGGGAGGACAGACAGGTGAGTCCCCACACAGCCCCCTGTGAGCCCCTCCTGAGGGGGCTTCTGGTGCCCCCGGCAGCACCTCTGGTCTGAGAGGGTGGGGGACCCTCCGCATCTTGCTGGGTGGCTGTGTCTGAGGGGGCTTCCGCCTCTCCTCCCACCCGGCTCCACAGGGGGTGACAGAAGCAACGTTTTGCTACCAGGCCCGGTCCCTCCCACCCCAGCCATCCTCAGCAGGCTGCTCAGTTTGGGAGGGAGCAGGGGTCAGTGGGGACCAGGCACCTGCGCCTCAGAGGAACCATGGGGTCCTGGGCAGGGGTCTGTGAACTGCCAGGCTGGGTCACCCACCCCACCCCCGTGTCTTCCCTGCCCTAGGCCAAGGTTCAGGGAGCACCTCAGTCTCTGAACTTGCTGGGAAAAGCCAGTCTTGTGTCAGGCCCGCATCCCACCCTTCAGGAGCCATCCTGACCTCTGACCCCTCCTTCAGTGCAGCCACTGAGCTGACTTCATAAGGGAACCGTGTGTGTGCTCATGTGTGCATGTACGTGTATATGTATGTGTATGAATGTGTATGCAAGACACACAAAAGAATCTTGGAACTGAGCAGCTTTCTGCAGAGATTTCTCCAGGACCTAATTACCTAAAATTTTAGAGTTCCAGGAGCATGCGGCTGCAAGAACAGCCATGCAACATCTTATAGCCATGCAGCATCTTATACTATTCAAAACGAGCAATACAAAATAAATAAGCATCTGCCTTTTTGACAGGTTTGAGTAGTGGTGGGAAAATTCAAGATAATGATGGTGGGAAGGTATAATGGTGTTGAAATATTGAATGTAATCCATTATTGTGAACAACTTTATGAAAATTAAAGTGATTACAAAAAAATGTGTGTATGCATACATGTGAGTGTCCATATGTGTGTATGTGTGTTCATGGACATACTTGAATGCCTGTTTTTATTTTGGTTTTGTTTTTTGCCACAACAAGATAAGCTCAGGGTTGACTCCTGACTTTGTGCTCAGGGATCACTTCTGGCGGGGTTTGGGGACCATATGGGGTGTTGGTATGGGGTGTCGGGGATTGAACTGGGTCACCCCCTGCAAGGTCAGAGCCCTCCCCACAGTCCGGTTGCTCCGCCCCAATTGCATGTGTGTTTTTGGTCCAGCAGGCAGATTTTTTTTTTAATTTTTAATTTTTTGCCTTTTGGGTCACACCCAGCGATGCACAGGAGTTACTCCTGGCTCTGCACTCAGGAGTTACTCTTGGCTGTGCTCAGGGGACCATTTGGGATGCTGGGAACCCGGGTCGGCTGGATGCAAGGCAAACACCCTACCCACTGTGCTATCACTCCAGCTCCACAGGCAAATATTCTTGCAGGAGACAAATGTCCACAGATTGCGGCCTGCAGTGATAGAAATGCAGTAAGCCGAGACCTTTTCAGTTCCTCCAGAATCTGATGATCTAAATGACAACCTTGCCCTCATCAGTGGGCTGCAATGGGGGGAGGGCATGAGCCAGGTCCTGGCCCAGGAGCCCGAGGGGAGATGGGGGTGTGCAGAGGGGTGCAGACTGCTGCCAGCTGCCTCTGCGTCTCTGTCGAGTGACCCCTATACTCCCCTCACTCCCATGGAGCCTCTGTTCAACCCCCGCCACCACACACACACACACACACGCACACACGCACACACACAGACGCACACACATGTACACACACGGACACATGCGCACACACGTACACATGCACACACGTGCACACACACACACACACACACACACACACACACACACACACACACAAGGTTCTCTTTCCCCTGACCACCAACTGAGTCTGCCCCCAGGCTCCTGGCGGAGGGAAGTTGGAGGGCCAGAGGCAGCTCCCTGCTCTGGGCAGCAGGCCGGCCGCTGTTCCTGTTTCTGTTTCTTTGCTTCATTTGTGTTGGAAGGGTCCTTCCCCCAACACCCACTGGCCCCCAGAATACCCTCTGCTTCAGGACTCTCCCTCCGTCTCCTGTAGCTCCTGGGCCTGGGTCGACACAGGCTCCATCCCTGGCATCCCAGATGGGCCTCTGAACACTATCAGGAGTGACCCCTGAGCACAGAGCCAGGAGAAAA